AGCAACGGAAGGCTCCCACCAGCAAACCGTGACTCGATACGTGGGCTTCGGCTGGCAATGGAAGCAGTAACCCTACCCACCAATTGGAGTTCAACGGATTCTTCTAAAAAAACTGGAGTCCAATGGAAATCCTATTCCTGCTTGCGTAACAGAGAAGGGGAAATCACGTGAACCAGCAAACTGTGACTCGATACGTGGGCTTGGGCTAGCATGGCAACGGAAGCGGTAACCCTGCCCATCAACTGGAGTCCAACGAAAATCCTATTCCGGCTTGCGTAACAGAGAAGGGGAGAGCATTAGCTTGCGTCCGCGCCACCATCCCCCGGCGCTCCCCCTCCACCGACCTCTGTCACGCCCCCTCTACGGTCCGAGAAGGATGCAAGGCAGCAAAAAGCGAGGAGGAAGATGCAATACCCAATCTACTTTAGAAACATCCAGATGCAACATTTGCAACATATGTATGAAGACCGATGAAACACTTAAAACAAGCATCTGAAACACTTGAAAAAACACCTAAAAACATGTGAAACTATTGCAAACATACGCAACATCTAGATAAAACACTTACAACATATGTGTGAAACATATACAACATCCACATAAACACACTTGCAACGTACGTCCAAAAACACAGATGAAACATTAGGAACAGACGCTTGTAACATATTGTACAACTATTGCAACATATGCAACATCCGATCTACTTTTGCAACATTCATCTGAAACACTTGCAATATATCTTTAAAACATCTGAAACACTTGAAATGTACGCTTGTAACATGCGTTTTTCACCCTTCTTTCATAGGACGCAACGTAGAGCGGGGGATGGAGGTGCCGCGGGGGATGGCGGGGGCGTGCTAGAGTGGGCGTGGCGCCGGATGGAGGGCGCTGAGGGGCATGGTGGTTGTTGGCGATCCTTAACTCACACTTTTACCCGCCAACACTTATATAAAATCCATCCAAACAAACACCAAACTTAGAATTAGGGCTCATAACTGACAAAATTCCATGAGTTTTGGTGATTCATCAATTGTAGGAGGACATGTCGGGATAACTCAAGAAAGCGTGTCAAAAGTACACAAAGAACATAGTAAGACAAACACCCGACAGGAGCCCAAGGGGGAAGGCCCACTTACCAGGCAAATCAGGGCCCAGTCCCATGGAGAAAAAAGGTCAAAACCCATATCAAATCAACTCCAAATGGCGCCAAACTCAACAGGACCCATCTAGAGGCCCAAGGAAAGCAACCCACCGAAGATGGGCCATTTGGGCCCAGTTGGAGTACGGCCGCACCCCAGGTGCGCCCGCACCACCACTAGTGCCTCTTGGGCCCATTTTTGGCAAAAGTTATCACTATCGCCTTTGCAATGACGGTTCCGTAGGGGTTGGCCAGGTTCAACGTATCTAGGACGTCCGTTTGAGGTTGGTTTGGTGCTTTAATGAGAGGATCAAGCATATTCCAAGGATGATTCCCTCCTCTCCACCTATAAAAGGAGGCCACCCCCTCCTCTTTTAACAACACATAAAGACACAACACAAGAGACACAATATGACAAGAAGAGAAGAGCTTCATTCCTATCTTAGCTCTCTAGCTAGTTCTAGTGTAGGGAGTGAGTGAGTAAGAATGGAGAAGTACCAGAGTTGTCGGCTACCTCCTATTGTGTACTCGGGGCCCCTTGTACACTTAGCGGAAGGAATGCCAGGAATCATTGGCTCCTCTCCACTTGTACCTCTATGATCCGAATACTACTTGGAGTGTAAGGTTCGTGTTTATCTTCGGCGGTGAGTTCTACTTTAAGTTAGTCTTGTTCATTATTTAGTTACAGGTTCATCATTCGTCCTTGTGATGAATACTCTAGTAAAGGGCCCTAATAAAGACGGATAACCCTGATCAATGCTAGAGTAGTAGTCGATAGCATAGACGTGGTGTCTAGGCTAGAGGCTACCTCTGTTTGCCTCGTTCCCCACGTTTGAGGGGTAGGCAGCAGGTGGTGACAGCCCTATCCGTCCCTTGTAATCCCCCACGTTCGGGTTCGGTATAGTGCCATAGGCTAGCAACGCTTGGTAGACCAAGTGTTATCCGGTACCCGAAGCAAGTCCATAGGGCAAAGCTATCTTAACTTAGAATCTCTATCCTTAGAAAACCTTGCTACCCGACCTATCTTTCTTCTTGTTATCTTGGGTGAACTAGCTAAGAGACTTTTACACATCCGTTCCTTGTGGAAATACAATACCCTGAATACTTCCGGATGAAATGCAACAACGGTAATTCCGTGCGCTTGCAGATTATTTCTGTATGCGTTAAGAAATACCAACAGTGGTTGCAATGTGGTCCTCCTCATCCACATCGTCGTCGTTGCTGGAGCCTCCGTCAGCATCAGCGTTCGAGCCCAAGAGCTCATTAGCCTCGCATCTGACCCAGAGAGCTCCACGGCATCAGAGTCAAAGGGGACGTTGAGGTTGAAGCCCTCCTGTAGCAGTGTAGTTGTTGCTGCTACTTCATATCAGAATGGTCAAAGGACTCAAGAAGCTTTGGTTTTTTCACGCGAGGTGCGGGCGGTGCGCGGGTGTGGGCGGGTCGGTCTGTCCGGAATGCCCTGAGGGCATCATTATCGCTTTTGTTTCAAAATGTAGAATCTACGGATTCCTTTTACATGAAGTGAGTGTTAAAAATGTAAGAGGTATATTATACGTATGGGCTCATTCCATGTGGGAGATGGGCCATACATAATTTTTGCATAGGTGTTATAGATGGTACTCAGAACCAGACTAAAAATACAATAATGATACAATTAAGACGTTCGGATAGACGAACGTCTCCCACCGCTCACTCCCGCACGCGTCGCTCGCACAACGACCTATCTACCCATCCCGTCTGCGCGCCCCGATGCTCATTGTGTTGTTTTCTCCCTGTGTCTCCGTTCCCACCCCACTTCGCCTCACCGCCACCAGTCCCCCACAGCGCCGCACCCCATCCCCCGCGCCGCATTCCCCACCGGGCCTAGTCTGCCTCGCCCGTGCTCCATCATGCTGCCTCTTCACCGCGGCGGCCCGCTCGCCGCAACCACCTCCACCGAGCTGGCGAGCCACGGCCACCTCCACCGAGCCAGTGAGCCTCCACAATGGATGCTCCAACAAGCAGGCGATGGGACGAGATTTGTGTGACGTTGCGCCCATCAGCGAGTTGCCCGTGACGCTGCCACATAGCGAGGTCCATGCGCCGCTGTCGACCTCGGCGCCAGCGTGCCTCCATTCGTCCAAGCAAAGCCCATGTTGTAAAATGTTTCAAGTGTTTTATTTGGATATTGCATGTGTTTCATCTTGATGTTGCACATGTTGCAGTAGCTATACACATATGTTTCAAGTGTATGTTCCAAATGTTTCATCTCGTTTTGTAGACGTATGTTTGTAAGCGTTTCATCTGGATGTTGCATGTGTTGTCACACATATGAAGTGTTCTCAGGTGTTTTTTTGTAAGTGTTTCATACGCATGTTTCGAGTGTTTCAGTTGTTTCTTACGTATGTTACAAGTGTTTCTGGATGTTTCAAAAGTAAATCTGGTATTGCAGCTATTGTTTCAGATGCATGTTTCATGTGTTTCATTTGCCTTCAGACGTATGTTGCAAGTGCTGCATCCGGATGCTTTAAAAGTAGATTGGGTGTTGTATCTCTATCTTCGCTTTTTTGCTGCCTCACCTTCGCATCGGTGTCTCCTCCTCCTCCCAGCGCTGGCTGGGCATCCGCTGCCCCCCTCTTATGGATGTTGGCGTAGCCACCTGCTGTAGTCACCTACTGGTCACGTGCATGCACGTGAGAAGCGGAGAGGGTGCGGGCGGGGACTCCCCACATATAGTCGAACGGGTCGGGTAGCGCAGGCCCCGTGTAGGCGGGCGTGGGATGCAGGTGCGCGGGGGGAGACGGAGTGTAGGCGCGGACGTCCGGACGCTAGCACTGCCGCTAAAAATAAGGGCGACCATTCTCTCCAACCAAAAAGCGATCTAGGACTATTCTATCCTAGAATTGAGACCATCCCGTCTACTCTGGTCCCCAAATCAAACACAACCATAAATTGTGACTATCTCTCGCAGTGCAAGAGAATAGGAGCAACTGCATGAAGCTTTTTCTTTGTAGATGAAAAGAAGATTGATAGGTGGTTTTAGGTTGTACTTGTACCTAGAGTCTGAGACTATATGTCGCTTAGAATATACTAGATCCCATTCTTGTTTTCTTATTTTCTTTTTGATTCTTTATTATTTTGTACTCCCTCCGGTTTTCTAAAGGATGTCGTTTTGTGGTTGTCTTATGTCAAACAGTTTAAATTTTAACTATAAATAAATTCTTTTGGGTTGAGTTTAAAAATATGAAAGTGATGTAAGTAGATTCATCTCAAAATATAGTTTCATAAAAGTATATACTGACTATATTTTATAAATATTTTATAGCAAAAAGTAACGGTCAAAGTTGTTTTTCAGAGACCGTATCGTTATCCAAAACGACATCCTTTATGAAATCGGAGGAAGTAATGACTATGTACCACCGAGTTACATAGGCTAGAACTTTATTTTATTTTAAATGAAACTTGCTCCATCTAAAAAGTATCGCTTTGGTCATTTTGTTGCACAACACCTGTTCAGTGACCAATTCGCTGCACAATTAAGTAGAGATGACAAATGTGATGCCATTGGACAAGGTATATATAATTATGTCACCAAATGGGCAGTTACACCAATTATGACTAACAGGAACCAAAAAATTATGACTAACAGGAACCAAACAAATTTTTCTCGAATAGGAACCAAAAAATTGAACAAAAAGTTTCGCAACCAAACCAATGCGGCGTGGTTCTGTTGTGTCTTGCTGTGCCACACCCACCTACGATCTAGCTTAAATTTATGTACACATTAATCTGTCCTTTTAATTTGCTGCTTCTCTCCTAACACACTAGTAGTAGTACGTGCCAATTGCCATGCTAATTAACCATGAGAGCTACTACGCGCCTACTACGCCCCTCTCTCCTTGACGTAGCTGGACGTCCTCCGGTGCCGCCGCAGCGCGCTAATGTGCGGGCCGAGTTCGCCGCCGTCCCGGTAATGCAGCACCACGTCAGCGTGGACCGCCGAGTTGGGGAACTTCTGCCGGTGCCGGTCCTGGTGGCTCATGTGGTGCTGCTTCTTCTCCTCCACCGTCGTCTCTATCGTCACGTCAACCTTCTCCCCGTCAACAACCTTGCCTTCGCCACCGTCGTTGCTCTTGCCGTCGCCATCTTCCACTACGACGGTGAACACAAACGGGCCGATCTGGAGGTAGTCGTCCATGTCCAGGACGGGCTCCAGGGACTGGACCACCTCCCTCATGGTGGGCCTAGACTTCGGGTTCTGGCTCAGGCACTTGTACGCCACCATAGCAGCCCGTTCAGCCCCTCGGCACGAGTACTGGCACTCCATGGCCGGGTCCATGACCCGGTACAGCTTGTCGGGCTTCCTGAGGTAGGGCCTGGCCCAATCCACCAGGCTCTGCTCCCTGGGCCGCCGAGCCCGGTCGACAGACCGCCGGCCCGTCAGGAGCTCCAGGAGCACCACCCCGAAGCTGTAGACGTCGCTCTTGGCAGTCAGGTGCCCCGTCATGATGTACTCTGGCGCCGCGTATCCGTTTGTCCCCATCACGCGCGTTGTGACATGGGTCGCGTCGCCCTGAGGCCCGTCCTTGGCGAGCCCGAAGTCCGACAACTTGGTGTTGTAGTCCTGAAAATCCAAAGAACCAGATTGAGTTAGGCGAAGATCGCATTCGTTCATAGGTGACAATTACATGCTTGGATGCTAAGACAACGCCCCGGCCCTCTCAGACTATCACTGTCAGGCAGCATCAAGCTGTTTAAGCTACTACTAGTGATTTGATTTGGTGCCAAGAAAAAAAATGCAGTGCAGATTCTTTTTTAATTATACATGTTGCCATTATTTAGGTAGCGGACTGCATGAGCTGGGATTGATAGATAGGAATTGGGCATCCAAGAAACATCCAAGTTGCAATCATGATGCCGGGGCTGGTCTTCTATCGAACCCAGCCAACAATTTTGGAACGCGTGGCAGACGACTTTGACATCCATTTCCTATGGACGATTCAGGGTCAAATCTCTCGAAAAGTGGATTTGTACCGAGCTTTATATGAATGATTTCCGTAACGAATGAATTTTCTGATTTTGCTAAGGCAGCCACAAGGTAGGTAGGTGTCGTCACTATATCCTTTTCTACAGCTACGCAAGAGCTACCGTGGAAAGCAGCGAGCCGTATGCGTCAGAAATGACCGTGCTTTTCCTAGCGTCGAAACCACCTACCACTAGACTCCAGTAGTCCATTGCAAGCGCAACGAAAAGAATGCGCAGAATTCTCACGCTGGACGTGGATCGGTCGCTCACCTCGTCAAGCAGGATGTTGGAGGCCTTGAAGTCCCGGTAGATCACCGGCGTGTCTGCGTCGTGGAGGAAGGCGAGGCCCCTGGCCGCGCCGACGGCGATCTTCATCCTCCTCGTCCATGGCATGGAGCCGTCGAGACCTGCACGCACGCAGTTGGCACGACGCTTCGTCAAACCAAAGCTATTCTGAATAAATATGATTAAACGACGCCAATTGTTTGGCTAACCACTCTACTTAATTTCATCATGAACTCCGTACCACTAGCAAAAGTTAACGATGGAGACAACAGACACGTGAATTTTGTGCTGCAGGAGTCGGAGTACTCACTTCTGAAGAGGTGCTTCTCGAGGCTCTGGTTGCTCATGTACTCGTACACCAGCATCCGGTGCTCATCCTCGTAGCAGTACCCGACGAGCTTGACCAGGTTGTCGTGCCGGAGCTGGCCGAGGAAGAAGACCTCGGCGAGCCACTCCCGGTGGCCCTGCGTGCCGGTGCCGTCGAGGTCGAGGTACTTGACGGCCACCTGCTGCGCGTCCAGCCCTTTGCGCAGGCCGGCGTCGACGCGGCCCCTGTAGACGGGGCCGAACCCGCCGGATCCCAGGTAGTTGGCGCGGGAGAAGCCCCCCGTGACGGCCCTCAGCTCGGCGTACGTGAAGGCGTGCAGGTTGGACCCGGACAGCGTCACGGACAGGTCCTCGGGCGTCAGCGTCCCCGATGAGCTGAGGCTCGACAGCGACACCCGCGACGCCGACGTCGAGGGCTGCAGCAGCAGGAGCCGCTCCCCCCGGTCCCTCCTCCGGCTGCGGCTGCCCCTCCGCCGCGGCGGCGGCGACGGCCCGTCGTCCTCGCCCGAAACCGCGCCGCCGCTCACGCAGCAGAACATCGACCCCCACGGCTGCGCCGTCGCAGACATCGTGTGGTACGCCGATCGATCAGCTCCAGGAATCCACCTACCGGAGGCAAATGCGCTTTGATTGCTTAGTTGCTTTGCTTGCTTGGTCGCGGCTGTGGAGGGATCGGAGTCGGAGAAGAGAGTCGGCCGGCGGCGAGAGGGAAAGGAAAGAAGGTTAGAAGAGAGCTGAGAGCCTGAGACAGCTCGCGCGGCTAGCGGCGTATATATAGTATAGCGTGCGGCGTCCGAAGTCCTAACGGAACGGGGCGTCCCCCCTGCGTGTGCCTTGACCAGTTGACCCTGTCGCGGGGCGCAAAGCAGAAAAACCACGGGGCCGCGACCGCGGAAACGGCGTCACAACCCGGGCAAAACCGCTGTTCGCTCCAACCTCTCTTCTCGAAGGAAGCGGAGTGGATGGGCGCCCCCTGCCCTGCTCTTGGACCCGGCGGACGGACACCGGGACACGGACACGGACACGGACACGGCCACACGGGCTGGGTGAAATCTGCCGCCGCGGACGCCTCGTCGCCCCGCCGGTTTGGGAGCCACGACGCCCGAGGGTGGGGGTGGGTTGGGCCGCTGCGACGATTACGCGACGCTGACCGGTGAACGCAGCTCGCAGCGTTACGTGACGCCGATGAGCAGGACGGGGGGCGGCGGCGGTATGTGACAAGGCGTGAATGCGCGATCGCTAACAGGTCGGTTTCTTTCTTTACACGGGGGATCCGAGGTTGCTTATAACGAAATCACGCGTGGTACATGCCCGGGGAATTTTTATTTACCCATGTGCAAGTATAAAGTAAAATAAAGATCATGTGAGAAATCTGCACGAGTATTATTAATCAATGCTCAAGTAGTAGCTTTCTTGCTGGTGCTCCTCTTTCTCTTGCCTTTCAGTTATGACCAATCCTCTGTTTCGGCAGGATTGTAGCTGTAGAAGCTACAGCTAAGCTATGGAGGCAGATAAAACCGTTAGCTCTCTCTAGCGGCTTGCATGGCGTGCGGACAGGCAGGCAGAGGGTTGCACGTACGCCCTGATGAGCAGCCTGGCTGTCTGATATTCCACAGGAATCAGGATAAGGGTTCAGGACATGCATGGCGCAGCAGCTAGCGCCGTGTCTTCGGTTGCACCGGCACCTCAATTATAGTCGTTCTTAATTAGGAGACAAGAAACAACGGTGTGACGGAAATGGAAGAAACGCCTCTGATCCGTGACGAATGAATCGGTGTTGAACATTCTGTCGCGATGACGCGCATGCAGTTGAAGCATCAACGTTGGGTTTCGACTTTCGACTTCTTGTCAAATGAGCTCTTCGCTATATTTTTTTTTCGCTCTCTCCCTCTCTTGATTTTTAAGTAAGTGATACGGAATCAGGAAAGCATCGATCTGGTGTGAGCTGACATTTTACCCTCTCTTTTTGGGAAGTGGTTCAAACGTTTTGTGCGCATTTGGGTGGTACGCTACGCTGAGGGTGTTGTTTGGGTGGTAAACAATAGAGACACCTACGCTGATAGAGGGTGTTGCTTATCTCCCGATGCCCGCAAATTGGAAAAAGGAATAAAAATACTACCAAATCTATAGAAAAAAAAGAGTATGACTCCCTCGATCTCAAATTGTAGGTCATTCTATTTTTCTATATACATAGCTTTTAGTATACATCAAGACATAATCTATATCTATGTGCATAACAAAAACTGTGTAGAAAAGGCTAAAACAAATTACAATTTGAATTAGAGAGGAGAGTAACATTTATGATACAGAATAAGTATCATAAGATTAACTATGTAATATACTAATATAATAAACCTACTTGGAGACATAAATGTGGACATTATTTTTAAAAAAATAGTAAACCTTAGAGTTTGTCTTGTTTTAAAGTTAGAATTATATTTTTTTCGGATCGATTGAGGGAGTATAGCCTAGGTGTATTTGGTTGGAGCACAGGCACTGACAGAGACACTTACCCGGTCAGTCAGCGCTCCAAACAGCCAAGCTGCGGGCGGAGCAAATGGCAAGGCGGTTCACTGTTCGTGCCTTCGTGGCCTTTGGATTCGTCTTAGCCCCCCATAAAATCAGGCTGCTACTAGCAGTACATGCAATGTATCCAGGGTTTAAGGTAGGTGTCTCAAATATGCCTCTCCACGACCGAATTATTCACACTACGTAAAAAATGGTTTGTAGCAATAAGACGAATTTTTTGTAGGGACGGCTGGTGATAGAGCCGCCCAGTGGCGTGCTCGGGAGCCCAGACACCAGCCGCCCCTACAAATGGAACAGCAGGAGCGGCTGGTGATACGAGCCGCCCCTACAAATGGGTCTGATTTATAGGAGCGGCTCACTCACTAGCCGCCCCCGGCGTTGCTATTTGTAGAGGTGACTGGTGATTGAGCCGCTCTACAAATTTCCGCGTATAAATACCTCCGATTTATAGGGGCGGCTAAATCACCAGCCGCCCCTACAAATGATCCACATATAAAGCAAACTGCAGCACTTTCTTTCTGAAAGTTGGGGAGGCCTTGAGCACCTCCCAAAACTTGCTCTACTAAGGGGAGAATGTTTTGGTCTCAAATCCTTTGGTGGAGAGGTTGTACAAGGTAAGAAAATATTATTCCATGTTTTTTTTTGAAGTTTTAATGGTTGGTTAGTGAATAATTATAGTTTTGTTTTTCTCTCTCTTCTATGGTGCTTGAACTACTTATGAAGCAAATTAGACCTAAATTTTGAATATACTAGGGTAAATTAGGGAGGGAAACAAGATCATATCCTTATTTGGTCCATGTTTCTTGATTTTAGAGAACAATTAGTTAGTTTTATGGATGTTTCATGTGCATGTAGATCTAGATTTAGGGTTTGGTTTTTTTATTAATTTTATTTTTGTAAATTTATGTTTGATAAAATTGGACTACGGTTTGTATGAAAGATATTGGGTAAAATATAATTGTTGCTAATTGTTGTCTTTGAAATTGTTTATTGTAATCAACAAATATGTATTTTAATTATTTATGGAGAAATAGGCCATTAATTAATTTTCCTCTACCATGGTGCGTTTGTATGCTTCATGTATTTATATTTGATTTATATTCATATATATCTGAAGTATATACAATTATTCTCAAGTAATTATTAATTTAATTTATTTTTATATATATCTGAATAAGTAGTCGTTTAATGTTTGTTTTGTTGTTGTTGTAAAAGATGGAGTACAGGAACTCTTGGATGTATGGCTCGTTAAGGTTCAAGGCAGGTTTCCGTGAAGAGGTGGATAAATTTATTGAAGCCGCAAAAAAACATGCAATGACATTGATAGAGAATAAGGATATAATTATTTGTTCCTGTAAGATTGCAAGAACTGTATGGCATGAACAGATGTGACTATCATCAGATCACATTTGATTATGCGAGGATTTGTTGACGACTACACAGTGTGGATTCATCATGGTGAAATAGTTATTGTTAACGATGAGGATGAGGAGGAATACGACGACGGAACCATAGAATCACTGTCCCAATATTCAGCAGAGCTTGATGCACGAATGGATTTCGAGTTTGGCAATGAACAAGGTGGTGATGCTGGTGGTTGGGATGGTAACGACGAAGGTGGTGCCAATAATGATGGTGGAGCACGTGTCGGGGATGAAGATGATTTAGAGCACATAATTCGAGCCCTTGGACCAGAGATTTTACAAAATAGCCCGAAAGGTCTAGAAAATTTGGAAAGGGTGACAAAAGCATCGAATGAGACTGCGTATGGTGTTGAAAAGGGTTGTCCGACACATCGGACATTGCTACATTTTATGCTTGAGCTACTCATCCTGAAGGCTAAGTACGGCTGGTCAGACTATAGTTTCAATGATCTATTGCATCTCCTATCATGGGTGCTACCACAACCAAACTCAGTTCCCGCCAACACATACCAAGCAAAGAAGGTCATAAACCCATTGACAATGGGGGTTGAAAAAATCTATGCATGCCCCAACCACTGTATACTTTTTCGTGGCGAAATGTTCAAGTCACTGGATAAATATCCCCGGTGTGGGGCCAGTCGGTACAAGAACAATGACCTTTACGGTGGGGACGAAGCCTCCACGGGGAAAAAGAGGAATAGAAATGGTACAAAAAAGGTGGTACAAGAATCTTAGCCCCCAAAGGACACTCCATTAGGCAACGATGCAAAGCAGAGAAGAATTCCTACCTTGGTAATGTGGTACCTGCCAGTGACCGACCACTTGAGATGTATCTTCCTAAA